CAGACCAATGCCAGAGTACTGCTCACCCGGGGCGAGGTGCAAAGGATTGAGCGGGTACAGCGTGTTGCCACAAAGCTACTCCCCGGTATACGAGGTGTGCCATCTGAATGCGGGTTGACCTCATCATGATGCACTGGATATTACCTTTGGTTACTTACCCTGTGTTGACGCCGCTGCTTCATCTGCGCACATCAAGCATCACACGGAAACACCTGTACAACCTTGTCGTATCGGATTTGAAGTGGGTCGCTCACCAACTGCTTCGAGGGTGGTGAATATTTGAAACAACCTGCCTGCGTAGTCTAAACAAAGTCATTGTCGGAGTTTAAGCAACCCTTGGACTCCCACTTTGCAACCTTGAGATTTCGAGAGTAATAACCATCATAAGAGGTAGATTTGCTTAAAATATATTAGATGCGGCCACACAGAGGCACCTCTACTCGCTGCATATTCTCAAACGGACACCTAGCATGTATCTTTGTTTGATATCTGACAGTAGCCAAGTATAGGTATCTTTGTTCCATATTTTAGTACCTACAGCAAATGATTCTATCCATTTTGCTACTCCTCCGAAATCTCTTAGCAACTGTTGAGCTCACCTCGACGTATTTGCACATTTACCCCATCTAACACCGATAACCGGTCAGTTCGTTATGACATTCAATCCGCACAAATTCATCTGTTCTCTTCCTGTCTCACATTTCAACTTTGTCAGCCGAACACCTTGGTTATGTGCTCTGAAACCATCGACTTTTTTCACTCCACTGTTTACACCATGCTGTACGATTAGGGTGTCTCTCAATCAACGCCTCAAGTATTTTCTTTGTCAACCATACTTGACATTTAATCGGAGTGTATCAGCCAATGGCGACTCATCTGTCTACTTAATCAACTAGCCTGGGCCGCCATAGTAACCATCTTCCAAAGTAAACATCACGTGGTTTTGGAATTCCGCATGACACGTGGTGTACAAATGATTGCTCTGTAGCTCCACACTAATTCTTCATGAATAACCTCCGAAGTTGTATGACTTTGGTAATCCCAAGGTGTGGGATGCGTTTGTTGGTGTGGGGAGAAGTAGTGACATACAGTCTCGGGGACAACAATAACGCTTCTTCCACTAAGATGACCAGTCTATACTCTTCGTGCACACTCGCCTAGAACTGAAACAAGCGCGCTTTGCCTTATTTATTAGGCCGTATTAATTGCAATTTAAATATGTTCAGGAGGATGGGTCCACTATGTCCAGGACTGTAGTGACGACACGCGTTTCCCTAATCGTGCATCCTGAAAATATAGTCTCGGAAAGGGTGTGGTACATGGTGCCATTTAACCGTAATTCTATTGTGAGCATACACCTGAAAATGCCCACAGCTAATTTCGGATGCGATACGATGAAAATCTTAGAAACGCGGAATGAACGTCTTCATACTTACTCATCTAAAGGTGCAAAATGGCGTAGGTCTAAGGATGACAGTTGTAAAACCACACCAAATAGTATATAAGCATTTCAAAATGTGCGCACGTCTATGAAATTTATTCGTTTCTAGTAGGTCTAGTGTACCAGACCACCGATCATGGTAGACTTTCGCGCTGTCAAAGGAACCACGAACTCCATACATATGATTGATCTTAGAGATGAAACTAATTTTGGAGCTTTTCTCCTGCTATATTTGCTGACTGATAAAGAGGATGCATCCCTATTCAAATTTTACTTGCACTTCGGAATGTTTTATCTGTATGCATTAGCAGAATCTGTACAGGTACACTGATGTTTTATGGACTACAGTCTTCTTTTAATACTTTAAACATGGATACAGTCTAAGGTTACCGAGCAAACTGTACGAAAACGTTTGCTACAGTTGTTCCAGTCAAGGGATCTACCGCTCGCAAGGTACGGTTTCATGCCAGGCCACTCATGCATCACCAATTTTCTCGTGACGAAGAATTAATGATTGCAAGCAGTGAACTAGGGGAAGTCTGTCGACGTGACCCCCAACGGTTCCAGCAAAGCTTTTGATAAGTTAAACCATAATGCCCTTCTCCACAAGCTGAGAGTGTGTGGTGTTGGCGGCTCACTGCATGATTAGATCCGCAGCTTTATGGGTGGACGAAATTGGAGGGTACAAGTCGATAGCCATCTGACCGATTGGTATGGTTTGACCAATGACGTATCCCAAGGTACGGTGCTGGGGCCTACATTGTTCCTCCTATATATCAACGATCTACCTGCAGATGTGTAGATTATAAGTGCTTCGGACGAATGCGGCTTATTTCACCAAGACCTAAACCGCCCTTCCATGTGGTCTGCAGCAGTTCGCCTCACGATCAACCCATCCAAGTTAGTGTTCATGATCATGGGGAGAGGTTCTGACGGCCAACTGCTACACCCCACACCTTCGGTGAAGGACCTAGGAGTACTGTCACGTTATGGCTTGAAGTCCGTTGACAACACGAACAAGCTGTATCTTAACCGACTGCATATGTTCTGTGCACTCAAACATAATTTCTGCATTATGATCTGAAGAGGTTGCTGCTCGCCTCTTCTCCATCATCCGACCAATGCTAGAGTACGGCTCGCCCACCTATATTCCGACCACTCAAGTCGAGACGCAGAAGGTTGGATGAATCTAACATTTCCTACCAGACTCATTCCCAGTTTACGGGGTTCACTGTACGAGGACAGGTGCGCGAGGTCTGGACTATACACTGTGACCTATCGTCGGTTGCGAGTCGACCGTTTCATGACCTCCCGCATTCTACATTTATGTGAGACCACTGCTGCATTTGCGAATGTACTAAAGCACACGCGGCAACAGTATAAGCTTCTGCTACCAGATCTGGTGCGAGTTTCCCATTAACTATGCTGTGCATGGTTAGTAGACAATGTTTGGAATTGTTTGTTGGAGCATATACTATCGCGTGGCCGGGATGTGTCTACCGATTGTCATGGACGCACCGTAAATTGCCGCACATTGCGTGCCCTGAGGAAACCTCGAGGAATTCAGAAGGCAGTCCGGAGATCCAATCATATCTCACACGATGCACTACGCACATAAGTGCGACGTCTGCATACCCCAACTTGCACAGCGCTCCATGAGATGAGGCGCGGACTAGGGATAATTGAACAATCGATACGTTCTGGTCAGTGTTTGAGGACAAAATGTTTCGCGGAAAACTGGATGCCTGTGGGCTCTGTACTGACTGATGTTTGGCCGTAGCACAGAAGTTACCGTTACATACAGGGTCTACTGTGGTAAAAGAAAAATGGACATCGCATTGGCGAACGAACGTACACGTGGTGCCCAACTGCTACCATTTCATCGCAGCTATGTTCCCATTAAAGTAGACAGACTGACATACACGTGAGAAATAAGTTTCGATGT